TGGTCTCTAAAGCATTTCCCTTCTGAATTCAAATGCTTCCGTCTGTGATGGACTTTAGTGGACTAACGCAAAAGGGGAGGAGTGGAAGAAAGCATTTTATGCTGAATTAACTGTTTGTGGGTCTTGCCCACCTCCTCCTCTGATCCTTCGCAGAGCTGAGTGAGGCAGCAGAATCATCCCCTTTGTACAGAGGTGTAGGCAAAGTTCAGAGGAGTTAAGTTGCTGGGGAGGGGCAATCACGTGTCACTACAGACCTCCTGATTTCCAGAGCCCAATTTTTTTCCTACTGGGAAACACAAATGCTGAAGATTCCTCCTTAAATTGAACATACTAGCAGCTAATCTAAATCTCTGAACTATGAAATAGATTAGACTACTTATATAAACTATAATTTCTATAAACTACATAATAAACTATTAAATGAACAAGAAGGAAATCCTCCCTTCCAGACAACTGTGCCATATCCCATTTATCACTGCATGCCCAGTGCTCAGCCAGGAATATGGCACACAGAAGAGACTTCACGTGTGCCTATAAATGTTTTTTTAAAGTCTTACCAAGATGCTCAACATTGCTAATCATCAGGGAAATACAAATCAAAACCACAATGTGCTATCACCTCGCACCTGTCAGAAAAGAACACAAATAACAAATGTTGGCAAGGATGTGGAGAACAGGGAACCCTTGGACACTGTTGGTGGAAATGTAAATTGGTACAGCCACTGTGGAAAATAGTATGGAGGTTCCTCAAAAAATTAAAAATAGAACTACCATATAATCTAGCAATTATACTCCTGGATATGTATCTGAAGAAAATTAAAAACACTAATTCAAAAAGATACATGCACCTGAAAGTTTGTAGCAGCATTACATACAATAGCCAAATATGGAAGCAACCTAAGTGTCTATTGACGGATGACTGGATAAAGAAACTGTGGTACACATATACAATGGAATACTATTCAGCCATAAGAAGAATGAAATTTTGTCATTTGCAACAACATGGATGGACTTGGAGAGTATTATGCTTAGTGAAATAAGTCAGAAAGAGAAAGACAAATACTATATGATATTACTTATATATAAAAATAATACAAACTAGTGAATATAACAAAAAAGAAGCAGATTTGCAGATACAGAGAATAAACTAATGGTTACTGGTGGGGAGAAGGAAGGGTGGAGGGGCAAGATGGGAGTATGAGACTAAAAGATACAAACTACTATGTATAAAATTTTAAAACTACAAGGACATATTATACAGTACAGGGAATATAGCCAATCTTTTGTAATAACCATAAATGGAGTATAACCTTTAAAAATTATGAATCACTATGTTGTGATTCATCCGAAACTAATATAATACTGTAAATCAACCACACCACAATAGAAAAAGTCTTACGGAGAAACAGAAACTTAAGTGTACATCACACTACAATTAAATGTCAGCAAACCAGGTATTGTGAACATCTTTCACATGCAGACCAGCCAGAAGAC